ATACCACAATCATTCATACCAAATTTAATGAAGTTGGTATGAATGAAGACTCAATCAGAATACTAAGGTCATTCATACCAACTTTGTTAAATGTGGAAGAATGTGCAAAAATCATGTGTTTGAAATCAAAAGGTGTTTTGAAATTTGCAGAAAAAGTGCAAATATTGAGCTAATTTGTAGTTCTTTGTATGTCAGTGTCAAAACAAGGTTGAAATCCTCCCTTTAACCCCATATATATGTCAGAATTTAATCTAGGATTTGTAAAAGTGGATTTGTCAAGTAGAGTGTAGAGCACAAGAGTAAATTTTAGGGGTCTTTAGCCAAAAATAGGTCTTTGTGACCTTTGCAGAAAGAATTGTGATTGATTACTGCTGTATGCTATGTTCTGTGTATGTCTTTAAAGGTGTAAAAGATGAAAAAAGTTAAAAAGTCATACTTGTTTACTTTATGCAATGATACCCAAGTCCACGATAATTTAAGCAAGGGATGGATGTAGTATTAATGAGAAGAAATTTAGTGAGTAACTTCTAGAAATACTTTTCTTGTATCAGTGATTTTGGTAGTCGTGCATTTGCCATTCTGAGAAAAAAAAACATTTAAATAAAAAAAAGTTAACCTTTTTGTATCTGTAGAAGTGGATAAAATTTGATTCTGTGATTTGATAAAAAGTTGAGGCTAAAACTGTGTTTTAAATATTCCAACTGGTTTTTGTGATGCTAATAAATCTCTGTGCTGGGTCCTGGCTCTGCGGCATATAATTTTGTAATTTTTCCAAAATATTGGAAAGAACATCAAAGGCAGGAACACCTGCCACATCTGCCTATTCCCATGTAGTAATCATTTCATGGCTTTTGGGCGCCTTTGTCTTATGTGACTTTTTTGGGGGGATATTATACCCTGGTTTTGTTAACCATGCATTTCTTCTTCAAAATGACATACTGAAGGTGAAGGGTCACTAGCAGAAAGAATATGCCTTGTCCTCTCTGGGTTAACAATTTACTGGTGTCACCTTTGCTGTCACCAGAATGACACCATGGTTACTTCCAAATATTAGGTGACATATTGTGTAATATCATATGTAAATAAAGCAATTACACTTGTTGACAACTTCTGACTGGTTTCCAAAGTCCAAAAACCAGTGAACATCTCTTGTGTTACAGCTGTCATGTAAATAATACTTTTAACATGACACAGGTGTCCCTGTTGGACAACATGGGGGGAAATGTCAAATCTAAGATGAAATAAATGAATTGGAGCATTTTAGGCTTCATTCACATGCAATGTCTATTTTCTAANATCATAAAAAGCTTCTTAGATAAATGTTGAATGGGTCAACCTTTTTAAAGCACCACTGTCTGTTCTTGTTGAATGAAGACTCAATTGGAATACCACAATCATTCATACCAAATTTAATGAAGTTGGTATGAATGAAGACTCAATCAGAATACTAAGATCATTCATACCAACTTAGTTAAATGTGGAAGAATGTGCAAAAATCATGTGTTTGAAATCAAAAGGTGTTTGGAAATTTGCAGAAAAAGTGCAAATATTGAGCTAATTTGTAGTTCTTTGTATGTCAGTGTCAAAACAAGGTTGAAATCCTCCCTTTAACCCCATATATATGTCAGAATTTAATCCAGGATTTGTAAAAGTGGATTTGTCAAGTAGAGTGTAGAGCACAAGAGTAAATTTTAGGGGTCTTTAGCCAAAAATAGGTCTTTGTGACCTTTGCAGAAAGAATTGTGATTGATTACTGCTGTATGCTGTGTTCTGTGTATGTCTTTAAAGGTGTAAAAGATGAAAAATGTTTTAAAAAGTCATACTTGTTTACTTTATGCAATGATACCCAAGTCCACGATAATTTAAGCAAGGGATGGATGTAGTGTTAATGACAAGAAATATAGTGAGTAGCTTCTAGAAATACTTTTCTTGTATGAATGATTTTGGTATACCATTATAGTCATGCATTTGCCATTCTGAGAAAAAAAAACATTTAAATAAAAAAAAGTTAACCTTTTTGTATCTGTAGAAGTGGATAAAATTTGATTCTGTGATTTGATAAAAAACTGAGGCTACAACTATGTTTTAAATATTCCAACTTCTTTTTGTGATGCTAATAAATCTCTGTGCTGGGTCCTGGCTCTGCGGCATATAATTTTGTAATTTTTCCAAAATATTGGAAAGAACATCAAAGGCAGGAACACCTGCCACATCTGCCTATTCACATGTAGTAATCATTTCATGGCTTTTGGGTGCCTTTGTCTTATGTGACTTTTTTGGGTGGATATTTTACCCTGGTTTTGTTTACCATGCATTTCTTCTTCAAAATGACATACTGAAGGTGAAGGGTCACTAGCAGAAAGAACATGCCTTGTCCTCTCTGGGTTAACAATTTACTGGTGTCACCTTTGCTGTCACCAGAATGACACCAGTTACTTCCAAATATTAGGTGACATATTGTGTAATATCATATGTAAATAAAGCAATTACACTTGTTGACAACTTCTGACTGGTTTCCAAAGTCCAAAAACCAGTGAACATCTCTTGTGTTACAGCTGTCATGTAAACAATACTTTTAACATGACACAGGTGTCCCTGTTGGACAACATGGGGTGAAATGTCACATCTAAGATGAAATAAATGAATTGGAGCATTTTAATTGTCTAGAGTCAATTGTTAGACCATCATTATTTTTTTTCACACTTTGAATATTAATTTATGATAGTGTAACACATATTAATATCAACATATTATTAAATATTACGTTAATGAACTAATATTTAGTTGACTTTCTTAATTTTTGCTTCAGAGGTGGTCTGAAAGTGACAAAATACTGGTGTTCCCTGTAATATGATACCTGATATTGGAACAGTAGTTCAGATTCCTGGTTGAAACCCCCTCATCCTTCATCCATCCTGTTAAGTATTTTTTCATTGATCTAAAAGTCCATGGCAAATATCAAAAAGAAGTTAACTCTGGTTCCCACACTTTTCATCCAGACTGTTTTTACTTCATTTTTTTCATTCAGTAGGTATAGGAAGATGCAATATGCTTATCTTCGCAATATGCCCAAATTCATATAATGAGTTTAGGCATAAGTGCAACAATGAGATAGAGAGGGATGACTGCTAATTTGGCTGTATTTATGGGTAAATGAATCTTTTGTGTCTCATTCTTAGCAGTGATTATCTTCCTTCCCTCCAGCTGTCTAATTAGGAGTGTTAAGGTTAGGACACCATGTGTAATCAAACTGCCTGAAGTATTCCTCAGAAATTAATACATTATTCATTCCCAGTGTAGGAGCTACTTTGTGTTGCTTGGTTTTGGTGCATTCTCAGTGCATGGAAAAAAGGGAGAATTCTGCAAAGAAACAGAAGTGATCAAGTTCAGTCTTCAAGTAGATATCAATGAAAACTTGTTAGGCAATACTTTTAATATAGAATTTTGATGGTAGATAGTTGAAAAGTGATGTTCTTTATGAGGCTTTAAATGTAAGGGAGTGTTCAGATTATCTATTGGCACAAGCTGAATCAATCCAACTCTGCAGGAGAATCTCCCTTAGTGCAATCACTGTAATCAGCTGACTAGACTCCTCCAGTTGCTAGGGGTAAATAACTAATTAACTAGCTACTCTGGAAGGTGTGTCAGACAATTAGGCTGAATGCTCTTTAGCATAGGTGGATCGATCCAGCTGGTACGATGTGTAAATCTAAACGCAGTCTAACATTGAATACAAAGTATATATTAAAGTAAATAATTTTTTTTCATTTAAAAAACAGGAAAGAAGTTATGTGACAAGAAAAAAATCATGGTGACCCTTTTTAACTGAAAATATTGTGGTGTATATATATATGTGTGTGTGTGTGTGTGTTTTCTAAACATCAAAACAAAAAATTGGCCATTAGTGCAAAAGAGTTACATAGGAGAAAAAAAGAGAAAAGAAATGATAAAGAAACATTGCCAAAAGATATCATATGATGTATAGAAACTGCCACAATATAATCCTTGTAAATATGGACAAACACTATCATGTGGTTTGGTGACATGTTACAAAAGTGACATACAATTATGTATAAGTCACTAACATGGCTGTCCATTTTGCCTGGTGACATTTTTTTGACATAGTGACACATGATGATTGTTTGATTCTTTGAAAAACATGCAAATGCAATCATGTTGCTTGGGATAACTAATGGAAGAGATGCAATTATTGTCAGAAGACAGAAAACAGTCATTGATGAGAATTTTGTTGGGTGATATTTTATGACAGAAAGTGAAACAAAAGCACAAAAATGTTCATGTTGTTTGTGGCATTTTATGAAGAAGAGTGACACATGAAAATGTCATAAAATAAATGGTGAACAAACTTTGATGGTCATTTTATTTGGTGACATTTTATGATGGGATTTCATTAGATTTAGTAATCTGCATTTGTTTTAGTAGTAAAGATACCAACAAATCTGGCAGCAGACACAAACATTTACAAACAGGTGACAGAGAGTATAAAATCTACCCTTATCTTATTCCCTATCTGCCTGCCATTTCAGCTGAACAATTTTGTATTGACTGCAAAATTAGTTTTAGAAAGGAAAAAAATGTTATGTAGACAGTAGCATTTCATTTTGACATGGAAAAAGTTTTGAAAAGTGCCAGACACAGGAAATGTTCCTGTACTGCCTAAATAATCCCCTCAATCTGCAATTTTGGCAATTACAGACAGGCAGTAGACAATTTTACCAGTCTGAAAGCTTTCTCTGGCCATTTATGGCTATTAAGCTCATTTACTTGATAGTTTAGAAAGTGGTCTGGCATATTTCTTGAGATCTGGTAAAGGCATGAATAATGGTAGCAGGCAATAAGTGCATGGAGGAAACTCCTTAAGTTTGTTTCTTTTTGCAATCTGTGGATACCATTATTTGTTTTTATGCAGCAGCCTGACTACCCTTCCTATGTGCTACTAATATAATGAACTGGTCCTTGATAAAGTGGTTTGCAATTAAGCCCAGCCCCTTTTGAGATAATAGCCTCATCTGCTGGCAAACAGACCTGTCACTCTTGGCATGACCTGTCAATCAGAAAACTCTCAGCCAATGAGATGCGAGTGGGATGCACTCTTAAGTGTGGTGACTTTTGAAGGTATTACCAGATGTTGACTTGAACATATACAAGTGAACCATTCAAGGTGGCCACAGTCACTTTTGCGACAGACTACATGGCAAAGTATATGGAGTTCTTATACATATAACATCAAATTTTGGGATGGATTAACACAGTGCCATTGGATTTAAAAGGGGAAAAACATGCCAAACAGTGCCAAAGATTCACCAAGTTCACAAAGTTTGTTGTACTGTTAACCTGGAATCTTCTTGGAAAGGATGGATACCAGCAGATATATGCTTCTGTTTGGATTTAAGTTATTTATTTCACTTGTACTAGTCTTTCTCGTGAGCCAGCAAGGTAAATGTCTTAATTTCTGTGTTAGAACATTTCACAGAGCTGTGTAAGTTGCTCTACCTACCACTGATGTTGTTTTTAAGGGGCTTCAGGGTTAAAAGGCATACGTTAAGTGTTTATTCAGCCTGAAGATTAATGAATATACAAGTGTTAACACCAGCTTTCCTAACACTGCCCAAAAATAATGTTTAGTTAAGAAGAATTTATGTCTACAAGGGCATCAGTTTTTTCATAAGAATAAGTAATTTAGTCCAGACGTAGATTAAAATACTTCTTTTAAATATAACTGAAATGTTAAAATGTATTTAAAAATGTTTTTTATTTAATATAATATTTTTTGATTGAAAGTAAAATGCCTTTAGGATTAATCTATAATAATAAATATATGTATTTCATAATTTCATGAAAAAGAATAGGTGAGACAAGCCTTGAAGAGAATATTAGATCTTGTTTAATAGTTTAAATAATATTGTTTTTTAGGAGAGGCTGTAGTAACCACAGGATCAAGTGATGTCAGGCATCCAATATTTCTCCAAGAACCAGAACCCCATAACTACATTGTGAAAAGTAAACCTGTAACTATTACTTGCCAAGCCATCAATGCAGTGGACATTACATTCAGATGTGCAGAAGAATGGGTGCCACTAAAACGCCATGTCCGAGCAGATTTCACGCATCCAGAGACTGGAGAAGCAGTTTTACAAGCTAGTGTGGAGGTGACTCGCCAAGCAGTCGAGGAATATTTTGGAATAGATGGTTACTGGTGTGAATGCAATGCATGGACAGAGATTCCGAGTCCTGATCGACCGTGGACAGGCGATAATCCTCCTCCCGCTCATGTGTCAAGCCGACGGGGGCTGGTCCAGGTTGCTTGTAAGTTTGTTACAAATACATGCATAGGTCAAGGTTTGCAGAAAATGGGGTCTGGGTCACTTGCATTCCTCTCTGGAGGGGAAAAAAATTAAAAGGTAGAGATCTAAAAAAAAGGTGCTTGCCATTCGAAGAAAAATGACTTCATGCCAAGAAAGTCTGAAGCAATCTGAAATTAAGAATCGAGCTACAGACATCAGTGAAGCGCATCATTAGTTTGTTTGTTACCATGGGCTGGCAGGGAGGGAGTTCTTGTAGCTACTAGTGCTTTAGTACAGGTCTGGCTTAAAAAAAAAGAAATTTCCACTGAAGGAAACAAATGTTGTTGTCAGCAGTTAGTATTTTCTACCCTTAATTTTCCGTCAATACATATGACTGCCAAATAAATAATTAAAGGAAAAAAGTAGCAGTTGAAAGATTGACTAGCTTAAATCCTTGTAATGATATATTTTGGGCATAAAATGAAGTATAATTAGGGAGATAATGACCTATTCATAGGGGTAATTTATTTCAAAAGCTAAGCAGAGTCGGTTTCAGAACGAAAAAAAATGTTTAAAAAGGAGCCAAACAGAAATGGTTTAATGGTTCTCAATAAAATCAATTTGTGTCATTGCAAACATGCCAAGCAAATGTGAAGAAAACCAGTGACAGGGCCATAAAATGTGAGGAGCCCTTTCCACTCATCCACATGCCATATTGCATGTGGGTGTCTCCTAAATAAATTAGTAATTGATTCTTTTCAAGTGTCTCAATCCCTGTTGTCTCAGTCTCCCTCTGTCTGAATGACCCGTAGTAATTAAGGACAAAGGAAGTTACGGGCAGTTGACAGCTGCTCTCCACCCTTCCTGATCCCTATCAGGTTATGTAGGCTACTACAGGAGACCTGAACCTCATTTAAATGTCTGCCTTATAGACATTACAGTCTTTGGCCTATGTCTTTCTCCCTCTCTCTCTGTCACTCAGAGATACAGACCCTCTAAAGTATTAGGCATGCCTGTGACTTGTATCTGAGACTGCTAACAGATTGTAATATGTCTATTATGAAGGGATTCAATACCCCACCTGTGGAGATAAGTGCTGCCATCACTGTGTGGAGCCAAGATGGGCTTTCTCAAATTCAATTTGCCCCAATTTTCTGTGGTCTTTAGGGAACTGTTATTCTGTCATGCTGGACATTAGGGTGATTTCTTCATCAAACTTTAAAGGCTTAATTTTTCTGCTGGACATAATTTGCACCTAGTGATTGCATAAATGCTGTCCAAATATCCACAAAATCCCGTTATTTGACTCTGTTCATAGTCACAGGAACAGTACCATATAGGTATAACTATTTGACAGAAACCGAAGTTTGGTAATAAAATCCAACATACATTGGACTTAACAAAAGAAATTGTGAATAAATTTCATTTGTGACTTCTTTGTAAGGCATTATTAAAAACAATGTCCACATATTGAATATGTATATTTAATTTTCCTTTATGTTATTTAGAAATTTAATTCATTTTGTTCATATTCTAAGAGGAGACAATAGGGTCAATTTGAACATGAATGTGAAATTATAGGATATCACTTTTGATAAGAGAAATTGAATCAAACTTATTTGCCTCCAGTATAACACAATGAAGGAAACTTTAACATGTGTTATTTGCACACTGGACAGTAGTATTTCAGTGACATGTTGTGAACCTTGTTTATCCCAAAGTTAAACTTTGCTCAATTGATCCGAGACAGTGCATGTTTGACAAAGCTGCACTTGAATTGAAATCCCGGGAGAGTTCACAGAACTTGCTAGATGCTCAGAGAAAGTCATTTTCAAGTTATTGAAGCATTATTGACGATTGGCCTGCCATTGTTCTTTATCACAAATGGGGAGATTCAATAGTGCATAATTCATAGCTTTATTAAATGCCTCAAAATGCCAATTCCATTAGAAGACACATGCTTCATTAAAGTCTATCTAACTTTGTTGATGCTCATAACTTAATATGATTAAATTACGTGTGAGTTCATATAAACCTCCATGCAGCATAAAAGGTGTCTTGCTAAACATCTTTTGTGTGAAAATATTGCAACTAATGAAACATGGGTGATTTTAATGTAGCAACACAGAAAATCGTCTGGATTAAGAGGGTTGAGAAAAAGGGTATTTGTGTTGAAAGTAATGACCAAGAAGCATGTTGGCCCGAGGGTCCCATTCATGATTACATTCAGGTGGACACTGTCCAGGGGTAGATAAAGGTGAACTGACCACTATTATATCATGAGTCTTTGTCACTGTCAGCTTATCTTATCCTGTTGGACTGAGGCTTCCCAGCTTAAACCCATATGGCCCTAGAAGAGAGACATCTCCCAAAAGATCTAAGGTGCACTGAAAAATTAAAGCCTTGTCAGGATCACCAAGCATTATATTTGCATTTTGAAAATGCCTACTGTCACATCAGGGGAAGCTTATCTTGTCCTTGTCTGTTTAAAACATCAAGCATAAAACCCATATGGCCCACCACTTGAGACATCTCGCTACAGATCTCACCTGAACTTTAGCTTTTACCGGTTTTTGTATGACCAGATATTACATTTAATGCGTCACTAGTACACTTTGAATCAGCAGCAGTAATTTTCCACAAATGATCTAAATGTTTTTTACACCAGTCGTAAATTTTCCCATGAAAGAGGAAATAATCTCTCTCAGAAAAGGTTCAAATCCCTAGGCTGTACTTGAGAATATCGTAGATGTGACTTGGCCAGTCTGTGCTGAATTAACAACAAGTTCACCAATTAGCAGTTAATTGTGTAGAGCTTATAAGATAAAGCGACACAATGAATTGGGATAGTCACATAAAAAAGAAATATTGTCTATTAATTTGGCGGCAGTCTTATCAATGTAGATTTAGTTCTTTACTAGTGGGCCTTATTGTATCAATTCCAGCATCAGTTAGAAATTGTCATGACAGGTGAAAGGATGATTCACCATTGTTTTTACCTAATGTCAAAAGATGAAAAGTGATTTTGATTAATGCATATTTCAGCAATTAAATATTTTTATAAGAAACATTTTTGTCAACTTGTATGTTTTCATTATATATTTGATACAGTGAATCCTATTAGATTGCTATTTGATGTTTAAAGAAATAAGTAATTTTTTTGCATTTATAATTGTGATAATAAGCTAAGCAGTAAAACTTAAATATACACAAAAACATGCATTAATATCATTAATTCATTTCCTTTCAGTCATACGTAAAAGATTTGAACGAGAACCAATAAGCACAAGTGTGGAGTTGGAGAAGCCAGTGCAACTTCACTGTTTGCCCCCCACTGGCGTCCCACCACCTGAGGTAAGATTGTCCCTGCGGCAGACCCAGCTGGCTCCAGTTGAGCTACAAATGCCCCTGCTTGCAGGCTAGGGACTTGTTTGACTACTGTGTGTGTGTTTGTATGTGATGCCTAGTTCACACTACTGTAACTTGTGTGTTTGCCAAAAGGTCTGAAAAATTCAATTTAAAGCAGAGGTGTGGACTTAACTAATGACAGGTTGATAATTTTTTTTTCATAGTCTTTTTCTGATTTTTTTCTTTCTTTTTTGTGTGTGAAAATGACAAAAAAAAGCCTTTGGCCAGATTTCATATAATAGCCTGAACCCAGACATATATGTCAATGTATTGAATATTACTGTGAGAATATATGGGGATTTGACATGGCATGCATATCATATAATAAGTTGCTTACCACATTTTATTATTCCAAAGGATTGAATTAGAAATGAAAGAAATTGGTGTTAGATGGGATAAGGCGACTGGCTAACTGGCTTCTTAGATAAAAATGCTTAAAGAGCACTCGAAAACACTCATATTTCATCCCCTCCATTGCCAAGTTGTGGTTGATGATAATTAAACAAAACTAATTTATGGGCCAAGTGTCCCATGGCTGGTTTACTCAAAATAAATGGGTACAAAGTGACATATGTTGTAAAGCAAGTTCTTAAGCTTCTCAAAATGAGTATGCTTACTTAATCCCACTTGTTTCGTTTGTGGGGCTGCTCTAACTGATATTTGGAAACTTGATTTATAACTATAGTTTAATGCCATCTGAGCGAATTTGCACCTAGTTTTTTGTTCGCGGCTTTATTGTAGGTCGGGTTTTATGAATTTTGGGATCAGTGGTTATCAAGACTGAGGATTCAACTTGTTAGTAATCTTTGAAAAATGGAGACTGTTGCCTTGCCCAGAGACTTTGAGGTTTGTTGCTGTCCTATCTGGTTGTGTAGGAAATACATGGTTTAGTGAATGTGCTGTTATCTTACTTTCCTAAGGTTAAGTAGAAGTTACTAAACAAACATGCCTTTTGTGATCTTGACTGATCTAAGGCTGGCAACATTATCAAGTTTCTTTTGAGACCAACCAAGACATTAAATAGTGTATTTGATAAAATGGGCTAGGTTTATGTAGGAATTGTGTGGAGGACACAGGTGAAGCATCACTAATATGTCCCGAAGTGTGTGCAACTGCTTTTTTCTTCCATGTTTCAACACAGCATGCCAGATTTCTATGTGTCCAACTCTGCGTGCTCCTAAACCTGTACCTCTTCAGTTTGCCGACCAAAATAACTGCAGCTTTTCAGGCTGATAAGCTGAAGGGCACTTGAAACCACAGACCAAGAGAGTTCTTATATGAACAGAGTTCTCACATATGAGCAGAGATCTTGGTAAAGGACTAGCACATGTCTGTTTGAACACTCACAGATGGGTTGTGTAATTTTACTAAAGATCAGCAAATTTGCCTTGACGTTTTCTTCCACAGATTTAGTCATTCGCTGTTGAACAATTTTTCCAGCCTATGCAACTGCCAACATCAGTCGGCCCGCTTTGGGAATATCCGTTTCAGAAATTTAATCGGAAACATTCTTGTGTTGATTTTTGAAACATATTCTTCGGGCAGGATGTTGAAATAGATAGGGTAAAAGAGGAAACATTAAATCATCATCCGTTTAAAGTATCAGTTGCCTGCCATACATATTGTTTTTATTACCAAGCTATTTGAAAAAATTGCATCAAATTTGTCATGACACTGTATCTACTGAGCCAAGTGAAGTAGGAGGTTACGTTTTCACCTATAATGATTGGGACTGCAAAGCCACATATGAAAGTTGTGTCTCAAATCATATTATTACATGAAGATATGAGTCATTGTTCTGCATATCTGGTCTCAGGTTGCGTATGGGGTTTAATTTGACTTGAGCTTTGTGTGTACTATATAATTTGCTACAATAAGACTAGGATTAAACCCACGGGTGTAAGTGATGTAATGTAGGATGGACGTTTTGTCTAACTTAATCTTACCTACACAGATTTGTCTGTAGCTTAAGCATTCACAGTTTACCAAAACCTCGATAAGCAAAGTGTGGTCTTTGCAAAGTCGATAGGACAAGCAAATATGGGGGATGTTTGAATTGCACTTCACAGGACCCTGCTATTTACACCTTATCTGTCAAAAGTTCACACTAATATGCTACGGTACCTGGAGAAAGCTGCTATTAAACTCGATTGCTCCGAATAAACCTGCATGTTTCCTACCTGTGATTTTTTTTGGTAAATCAGAGATGTTACAATGGGTCCAGTTTCCCCATTTTTTTATGACTGGAAATCCCTTTCCTGCAATTATTAGTGAAGTGACCAATATAAAGTACTACTGTGTACAAACTTCCCTTGTGAACATGTGTGGATTTCCAAAATCACACTTGGTGATTTCTTCAGATCCTGGAATTTCCATTGAGGTATACCTTCGGCTTGTTCCCAGTGGCAGAAAAAGTGTTTTAGTAGCATAGGTTGCCTGGAAGGGACTACCCATCGACAGAACTTGATCTCTTGATCTCATTGATACCTGTGCTATTATAGATAGTTGCCATATTTTTAAAAAATTTATCATATTTCCTTAAACAATAGTTTAAAAACAAGTCTGGTTCATGACAAAGGTGTATGCTGTTGTGTAAAATTAAAAATGATAAATTAATAAATATAGAATATTTAAATAAGTGAGGTGGTTGCAGTATGTGAGTTATTATCATACCCCCAGGTGCTAAAATGAGGACAGCATCTCTGCATGTAACACTCCAGAAAATTTGTGTAAGGTTAATATATTATTTTGAGAATGCCTCACTTTGTTTCAAGTGTAGGTTAAAACACGAAAGTAGAGAAGCGGAATTTCTGACAGTTTAACATTATTTAGTGTGATTATCGATACTATGGTTGCACAATAAAAACATATCAGCATGTATCAAAATCACATTCTCTCTTGCAGGTATTCTGGTTGAAAGACGGACAAGTTATTAATGACAAGGAAGAGACCAATTTCATTATCTCCAATGAAGGGAATTTGATCATCAGCCAAGCTCGCCTGTCGGACCAGGGAAACTTCACCTGCGGAGCGATAAATGTGGCTGCAACAAGAAAATCAGAATCTGCTGAGCTTATTGTTTATGGTATGCTATTTTCCTTTATCTTCTCCCATATCCTTTCCTTTATTTGTTTTCCTCTTAAGGTAACATCACAACCCTAATGCAACTTTTGACATAGACCTCCAGTGTGTGCGTATGTGCGCCTACAGATATGGTATATGCTTTCATGCACTCAAAGAGTCAAGTCATTAAGCTGGCTACAGGCAATGTAAATGTTAAATATACAGACAGTTTTACCTCAAGTTGTAAGATATATTAATCAATTAGCAATAATTACCAACTATGAAAGTCGTGCTGTGACTTGATATGACATAGCAGTATTAACATTCAGTAGGACGGCATGAAGGTTGATCACTTGGGCGAGCCACCTGCAAGCACGCAGTGGATATTGTCACCGTGTCACCACATGTCTGTGCTTTTGCCAACAGACTTGACATCCGAAATTAAGCTGGAGCCAGGCTTAAACAGCTGATCAAAGAAGTGCCTTCCTAATTTTGAGCATTCATCTGTTCTTTTTAGAAAAAAATCTTTTGATGGAATTGGAAATGAATTATAACATGCGAGCAGGATAACTGCGCAATTACTGAAAAATTGAAAATAACATGCAAATTACCATTTACCCTGTAGGTGTATATCTAAAATTAAAAGCAAATTTTGTGCCACTTAGAGTCTACTTGTAACTAAAGATTTCTGATATTCTGAGGCCAAAGAAAAGTGCAATGTTGTTATTGCAGTGCCTTTTATGTCTGTCAACAACTTTGAGTTGAAAGCTTTTAATCTAGTTACCTTGTACTTAAACTGATATTATGAGTTGAACTGATGTCAGTGAAAAAAGCATGTTGTCGGGAATGTTGTGAGTTTTTTTGTCAAAATTCTAGTGCTGCCCTTTGAACTTACAAGATTTGATTTACAACATATGCTAGAAAATATCAGAGTTCTGTTACCAGTTGTTAGACCTAGGCACAAACAGTAAAGATACACTACAGATTAAAGAAAATAGCCATGGAACGGTATGCTTATATCCTGCCCATGTTTTGTAAAAAGAGAAAGTTTGTGGAAAAAAATATTTTTTGAGAAATACTAGACCAGGTGGGAGAATGAGAAAAACAGATGTGTGCATGACGTACAAAGTCATTATCTGAGACTTGATCAAGCCAATTTATTGCAGTACCATTGTGGAATTATGATGATTATTAATAGCACACAGTCTACAATGATCCATGGTGGTCTTTCCTTACCGATAATGACAGAAAGACATGTGGACAGCGCCAAAGGGAGCTCCCGAATGTCACATGTTGTTTGCCTTAGAGATGTTGAAAGGCATGGGAATCTCTTAGCAGTTCATATCTCATATAGAATGGGTGAAAGAGCTGGATGCTCTCTTTACTGTCATGACCTTAGTTCTGTATGGCCTTCCACCAGCAGCAAGTAGTAGCTTTCAAAAGGCACCTGGCTGTGATTGAGGTTTCCCATTTCATGGAGCTATAATTCATATGTGACACCTTATGATTTTAGTCACTTGGTGCAGTTTGCAGTAACAGAGGCAGTAATTTTGAGACCCATTGTTCTGTTATCAATGATTGTAAAATGGTTTTAATAAAAAATAAAATTAATAAAATTATTAATCAAAGTAACTTGCTACATACCCTTTACAATTATCATATGTTATTTAAGTTTAACATTAGAAATATTTATTTATCTTATATATTTTGAGGGAAAATGCTATTCTGTTTTTAAAAAAAGAGGTTTGTGGTGTTTTTTTAATGGGATATGTGTGTGATGTTTTTTTTTAGTGAAAGGAGCCTGGTCTACCTGGTCACAATGGAGCGACTGCGACAGCAAGTGTGGCAAAGGTTTCCAGAGCCGCTCGCGTACATGTAGCAACCCTGCTCCTCTTAACAATGGCTCTCCTTGTCCTGGAGACTGGGAACAAAAGGTCCCCTGTACCACCGTCTGTCCAGGTAAGAACTGCTGTTAATATTCCCCAAGTAATTTTGATTGCACTTTACAAAATCTGTTATGCTAATGTGCTAGGACATTTGGGAAAAATTGAGAACTAATTGTTTATTGAAGCCTGTCAGTAAGTGCTCATTGTATTGCTAAATGTATGTTTTAAATGATTTTTTAACAATTTATGAAATATTTGTGTTTTTAAATGAATGTATCATATGTCTAGACTTTACATAGAATGAATACATATATAGTATGAATATAAACTTTGTGCTTATTGACACATTGATCAGTGATAGTCAACCAACACTGAACACTCCAGAAAACAAGGTTCCAAAGTGTTATTGGATTTTCGCTAAATTGTGGTATACAAGAAATGCTTCATTAGGATGAAGAGTTCACCAAATTTAATCTGTTTAATTTTGCTAAGTTTTTGGATCAACATATTACATCTTACCATTGTTGTTCTTGGAAAAGAGCACCATTACATTGAATAATTGGCCATTGATTTTATATTTCTGGTAATCACTATCTTTGATCAATATTTTATAAAGCGTTTGTCATTCTTGCATTTGTTCTAATTGAGTGAAAAATATGATGCTTTAAAGGAAAGTGAATGGATGAGTAGTAGCAGAAAAGCAGCATTCACTAACTGAAAAATTAACAGCTCCAAAAGCATGATTGTTATAGAAATCGTTTGAAAGGGTGTTTGTGATTGATGTACATTTGATAGTATTTTCCAGTGTGTCAAACCTGTAGTTATGGTATAATAGCATTAGTTGATTTATTATGTCACGCTCTGGGAATATAGAATATAGACAATCTTTCAACCTGTTTGATAAGTGCGAAGTTGTTTGAAAAATGAAACCAATGAAAGAAGGGGGATTGAGAAGAAGAAAAAGGAGATAGACAAATGGAATGAGTTTATACTGAAAATTTAATAAGGAGATAGATGAACAAGTTTCCACTAATAATGATGTTTGTTCTCTTTTGTGTGATATTTGGGTGGTTTTCATTTATATTGTTCTTTTTTTAAATGTAAAACATCAGCAAGTTGCTAGGCAACAAATTCAAAACATTTGTAGAAATAGGTTTTTTTCTGTATTCATAAACATTTCAGTTTATTGGGTACTCCTCCCAAGATTTGACTAAAAAATTGAAAATCCAAGATCAACAGCATCATTCTCCCAGTTGCTGTAGACAAATTGCATGTCAGGAAGTCAAACCTTGACTAAAGACCTCCAGATTCCCTCCAAATTATGCCAGCAGAGGTTGTTCACTACCCCCATAAAACCGCCTGGTGGAGCTAATCAAGGGATAAATGTGCATACTTAAATTTTCTTGTAAAAAAGGCCATGCTTTGGTATTCGCAGCTGACGTTTTGGATCATCCCTTTACCAAATACTCTCTATATACTTGCTGTTCAATCATGGGGCTAAATGTACTAAATTAATCCTGCCAGAATAATGTTGTGAAGTTCTCAAACAGCGGGTTACACTTCCATTTGTATTTTATGGTCTTGGTTAAAAAAAACTGCATACTTTCTTGGATTTGTCAGAACAGCAGCTGTAGTGCAATCAAAAGCAAATCATTTAGATAGGTAGATGGGTCCAGCGGAGGAGATATTGGGCTAAAAGGCCTGCAGTGGCAGGCTAAGAATACTGTGAAACATGTTTCGCTAAATACTTTGTGAGAGGTAATAAAAATCAAAGCGCTGCTTGACCTAAAAGGTTAGTTTTATGTACTCTCGCCAGAGCTTTTAATAACTCTGAAAATGGTTTCCTTTTGCTGTAGCTTTGAATAACTGTTTTGTTTTGTTTTTTTCATATTGAAACACAGACACATAGGTACTAAGATTAAATTGATATTCCAGTGGCATCCATGAAACTAAACTTTGTCTATTAATATTCTCAGACAAAAGCTCTATGTGTTTGCTGACTGTAAAAAGAATTAACTTGAAGATATTCAGCTGGCTGCTATTTATGAAATGTTGCAGCATAATTTCATTCATAAATCTTGATTTAGAAAAAGATAAAAAGTGCATAAGTCACTACTACCCCATCATTCCACCAAAAAATTACACCCAGAAGATTGAAATCGGAAGCTATCTTAAGTAAATAGTTTTGCCCTATAGTAGTCCTATTGGTGGCATGATACATTTTACAGCTCTTAATGTTTAGTGGAAGGGAAAAGACCCATTACATATCTTACAGAATCAGACCAAGCCCATGTTGGTTAGCCTCTTCAAACCTAAGTGATACATATCTCAGCTTTATCATATTTAAGAGTTTTAGTCATATCCTCTAAGATTTATGTGAAGAGCACATATAATTCATACCAGTTCTTAAGTATGGCTAGGGCATGTTAGGGGGAATGCCCACATTATATGAATATATACATCAGTTTTTAGTAGACATTGCATTTGCACTGATGAGCGTAAATGACTTGACTTTTGATTTTGTGTATAAATACATTGATGTTGATGTGCTGGAGACATAAACTGCCATTCATTCAACTGCAGTTTCCGTATGCGGAGATAAGGCGTCTGTCTAGATAGCTATCTGTTTTTTTCATCTTTTATAGCATCTTCACAAGATGATGGGCAGACCTTGACAAAGGCAGCTTTAAAAAGCCCTTTCTTTAAATGTTTTGAACTGTGGTTATTTTAATGGTGTCTTAAAAAATGGGCGAACAATTGATTTCAAGCTAGGGGAGAGAAATAGATCCGTGGCATGTATCAGTTCTGTTGAACATATTGCTTTAAAGTAATCAAATGTCATTTCAAATCACTCCATGCTATGGTAGACCAAAGAAATTGTTTGTCATCTGATATAATTACATCTAATTAATGGTCGCAGCACATTATGTTAAGACCTTGTATTGTTCCCAGGGAAAAAGAGCGATTTGTAACCCTACCCAGTTGATAGACATGCATAAATAGAAATTTACCCCATGTTACTCTTTGTCAAGTCACTGATACTGGACACAGTGCCACACTTGTTTTTTTTTTCCTCCATAGTCTAACCTATGCAACCTGATCGCGATTGTAATGATATATATTTTTGTCATGCCGAGATATGCATGTTGATAAAAAGCAGAATTTACAAGATATGCATTTCCTTTGTAGCCTTTTGTTGATTTGCAGACTGCACACATGAGTAACTGCTCAACTGCAAGCTATAATTTTCTTGACAAAAGCCATGGTAGTGTTAGGATAAGGTACCATTAAACGCACTAGGAAGGCGTAACTTGGGTGTGTGTATATAGCACACAGTGATATATCCATTTAATGGAAAAGTATCTGTGGTAAACAACAAGGCCTTTTATAATGATAATTGTCAAAAATATTTCCCCATTTTATTCCCATTTGAGAAGACAATTACAGGGGCAGCAATCTTTTATCACCCAAAAGGTTTTGAAAGAGATGGACAGTAAACATCAAATTTGTTTTTGATACTTAAGGTGAAAGTTGTCAGTTTGAAACCATGGGCATATTTTATAAATGTTGTTTTCTTTCAAAAATACTTTTTCTCACTGCTCCAATTATGTTTTCCATATTCCTTTTGAATTCCAAGCACCATTCTCAATTTTTCATTTAATTACAAACTTTACAAAGACGTCAGCAAATGAAGTTATTGATGGTAGTGGTATTATATGTATTAGTTATGGATATAACGAGACAATTCTTTCCTTGCCTACACAACAGTGGATTATTACCATAGTTCCACAGTCTCCTCCACACTGGGATGGCCAGGTAAGGTATAGGGTGGACTCACTGGGTGCATGAACCTAATAAGTAACCATTCAGTTCTTGTACCCATTTATGCATCTAAATATACATGCATATAATCCAAAACACTAACAACAGTCTTTCAGTTTTGCTTTTTGTATAGTGGAAAATGTTGAAGTGCTAACAAAATATGTTTGTCTCTTAATTTAATCATTCATGTATAATGTATGTTCATCATAGTATTTTTTTCCAAGTTTGCCATTGTTTTTATCTAATGCCTGTCTTGACTTGAATTTGTTTTTGTTCCAAGTTGTCATCTTTCATTTGCAGTTAAGTGTATGTCATGCCTTTTTATCAGTTTCTGTCAGTGGAATGACTTCCAATTGTGCATGGCATGTGGATATTTTGCATCATTTGTGAACTTCACTGTTTGATGTTTTCAGTTTCATGTTTTATAGCAATACGATATTATTTGCGATTTAGGGAAGTGTACAAAGTATATGTTATTCTTATGCTTATATACAAACTACTGTTGTGTATATATTTAGTCAAAAGTAAAATTCACAGTTCACTTTCTGACTTATAGAATGAGGATGTTGTACACAGCATTAGGATTGTTTTTAACAAACCACATCTATCTAATGCAATTCATTAGGATAGAAGTCATTACTTATTTGGTGACGTAAACAAAAAAAGTGAGATTTTATAATTGAAACTTTAATATAAAGATCCAACCAAAAAGAGAAAGCAAACGTGAAAAACTACGTGAAAAACTACGCGTTGGTGTGTTTACATTCAGCCAAACAGCAGAATTGCTACTTTGACAGAGATGTGTTCTTTGAGGAAAAGAATGTTTACATGATATAGAATTGGATTTTATCCATGGCCAGATCATACCTGTAGACACCATACAGACATATCTAAATATTTCAGGATACTTCCTGTACTTAGTGGTCTTCCAACATGTAACAGATCTGATTTTATCTAAAAATACAGATTCAGATATGGAGTGTTTACATAATGTTACTTCAGATCATCAACTGGATATCTTGGCTTAATGTAAACTGTGGACTGGGAAGCCAGTGATTGAATTAAAGTTTACAAACAAAAGGGAATTATTAAGTAATATAGGTTAATGGATATTGTTTTGCAAAATACATTCATATTCCCTTGACAGAAGTCTGTTTTCTCTTCAGTTTTTTGACAGAGTATTACATTTTTCTTCAGTTGATGGTGGCTGGTCCACTTGGGCCTCTTGGTCTACCTGCAACGAAGACTGCAAGCACTTCAGACGCAGACGATGTGACAACCCACCGCCTCAAAACAATGGCAAACATTGCGAATCCACTGACTTGAACATCACAAACTGCACTGGAGGCTTATGCAGAGGTGAGAAAAACGCGTTCTTTTTCCATCATATTTTCATAGTAAGAAAGGGAAATAATCACAGCTCGAGTTGCTTAATTTTTTTGTCTGCAATGGAGATCTAGTTTGAAGAAGTCTGCCCATCTTCAAGACCAATTTATTTCTTGCCCAATGCCCACACATTCACTCAGATTAATTGATAATAGACCCCAAAGAATTTAATAAACCACATGGAAAAATAAATACAAAGCAGGGTTTATGTTGGAGTAAGTAGTGCTGGCATCACTAACCTGCTTCTCTCTGTGGGGAGACTTGCTGCTGTCAATTGACTTAGAAATCGAAGGAGAGCTGACTAGTTACCAAACACAGCAGGAAAGCACTGCAGTGATTAGGTAAAAGGAAACAAAACAAACTAAGGCTGTATTTGATTTGTTAAAAAAAGATGGTGGTAAAACAAGACTTTTTTTTTTTTTTTTTTGTTTGAAAAATATGGCAGATAATCACCAAAATGCATTGCAGTACTTACAACAGTTCTAGATTGAAACTTATGGAAACTTCATTTTGTAAATTGTCAAAAATTATGAAAATACTAAGTTGATGAATAAAAATTCACATAGTCTAACCGAATGGTATTGAAGATTGTATACCTGCAGGTTTTAAGTTCATGGAGAACAGAAAACAGTGCAAACATATTATTCTAAGGCAGCACTGCTCAGAGAAAAATTGAAATTTATGGCCATGGCTTACCAAGGGAGATAGATATAGGTCACTTGTGGTTCACCTATTTTTCCCAATGCTGCAACTTAATATTTTTGTTATTTACCATTCATTTCATATATCACCATAAACCAAAGTGTTTGATACCCTTTCCAAAAATCCAGAGTAAATATTCAAATTTGACTTCTAGTGAGAAATCACCCAGAGATTGGAATGAAAAGAACCCTTTTGTGTTGCTGTCTATGCATGAAAATGAGCAATTTGGGCATTTTGTCTTTCAAGCTAAGCAATTATGTTTGACCTTTTGGGTGTTGAAGATGTTTAGCCCAACAAGTGGTGTGTAAAACAAACCCAACAAAAAAGCCAGTGGGTTAATCAAGTTTGTATTACCACTGGGGCCTTCACTGCTTGCACTTGGGTCTGTACAATGTGAAATGACACTGACACTCCTAAATCCAATTCTGGAAATGCATTTAAACTGCTAGTTATCTGGTATAGAGGAATTTATTGGATTTGGAGTTATGAAATAACACAGACCATGGCTAGACAAAATTGTGGATGCCGAGATGGAACGCCTATTTTGGTTTCCTAGTTAAAGCAGAGATCTGGAAAGTGCTTCTTTTTTTCCCTCTCGTGGAGGAGGGTTTTCAATAACAGAACAGTGGGTGTCAGCTAGATATGGAAACCAGGGCATAAAAGTTGTGGTTTAGCTGTATTCCTTACCTCCCTCCACACATTTAGTGGATGACTTACAAGATAGACAAAACAACCTGAATATTTACAGGTATTACTTTCTACTGCATTTTTTTGTCACTAAAGTGACATTCAGTGTGGGTTTGGTGGAAGTTGAGATCTTTCAAAGAAGGAAGTCTCAGAAGTTTATTTAATTCATTACTCTATATTACCCATCTCAGTAAACTTACTGGTCTCAGTTTACTTAAAGAGCTCTGGAAAATAAACACGTGGAACAGTAACTAAAACACACTTTGGTTTATGGGAAATATGACTTTAGTGCGTCTGTAGTAAATGTCTTTTATTGGGGAGAGATCAGGATAAGGTTGCTGAATTTTACTTGAAAATGGGATTGAGTGAGACATGATTTTTCAGAAATATGGCAAATCTGCCAAATCTTTCGCAATTGGGTTTGAGGTCAAGTGCGAGGGTATTGATAGACCTGCTGGCAAACAGTAAGGCAAGGCACATGTGTAGGAGTTGAAATATATTGGAAATTAGAAAGATGAAATACTCCACTTGTTTGTATTTTTTTTTTTTATAAGTGGTGTTTTCAAGGGTAGTGTGGTAAGAGATGCAGTTGTGTGCTTTATAGCTTATAGCTTTTTAGTTAGATTTTTTTAGCTAAGTGGTTCAATTGTTTTAATGCACATTGGATTTGGTAAAAGTACCATATTAAATGAATTGCAGTTGCAAATATGGTCTAATTACCATATTTCATGTTGCTCTGGTTTCCATAGCTGTTAGCTAATGCAGTTTGTTATCAAATTAAAACATATATTGTTCATGCAGTTTGTCTATTGAAATAAACCATATCCATGTAATTGAGTATGCTCTTTGATTTACTTTTGGAGATAAGCCATTTGTATTTTAGCTGTTTACATCATTTGCAAAAATCATCAAACATCCAATATTGCAATTAGCCAAAATAGTCTCTAATGTTATTTCCTTGTTCTTGGCAAGGCTGTGATAATTATCTAGCTTTTTAAATATCTTCATTAATCAAAAAAAGCCTCATTAGTATGACACATTAAATGCACATTGAAGGGAATATTGAAATATTACGAAAATATGTAATTGATAATTGGAGGATCATTGCAATTATTCGACAGCAGCAAGGCAGAGGGATGCCCCTCTTGGTGGAAAAATTAATGAAGGGAATCTGACTCACAGAGGCATCAATATTTTTTTAAACAGACATCAGTAATACCTCAACTGAGACTTGCACTGAATGTGTGTCCAAAACCTGATAACATTGTTAGCAAAAGTGAGTAATTTATCAAACTGTGTATCACATTGTACTTTTGGAATTAATTGGGCTGAAAGAGCTTCATTAATTTAAGTTTTACCAGTGGGCATCTCTAATGAAATTTTCACTTGGCTGTCCTACCCTTGAGTGTCGTTAGTGATATCACATGGCCATCTGTAAATTATATTTGAACTAGTTTTAGTTTACAAATATGCTTCAAAATGATTAGTCACAGCATGGAATATTTTACTGAATTACTCTTACCAAATTAAGGGCCAGAATTAGATGTATTAAACTTGTATCATTGCACAAGATATATCCTATTTCTAGTTTCTGTCTTATATCTCGCTTTGTGAAGACAATTATTTGATTTTACCATTGGCATTTCAATAAAACAATTGCAGATTGAATAGAATTTTCACAAATAGACATATCTCCATTAATTTTGAGTTTTGCAAGTTGACAAGAACATTGCATTTGCTAAATGAAAAAGTGGCACTATCATTGCCCCAAAAAACATAAATTTAGTACAGTCTTCCCAGGTGCTATTCAAATAATTACTTTTACATTGCGTGTTACATTCACCATTATTACTTATAAACAGTACCCCTTGTCCATTATCAAGCTTCCTAGGGTCATACATAGGTCCATCTTTAAGATGAATCGAACAATCAGCTTGATTACATTTTTATGCCAAAGTAATAATTTTCTATTGAGAAATGTATATTTTATATAAATATTTTACATTTTCTGATGTAGTTTTGCTTATCATTTTCTGGTTGTGATTCCCTGTGCAAATATTCTGTTAACACCTTAAATTTCTGTATATTTTCCTGAACTAATAATATATATTTTCTTTTTTTTCCAGAATTCCCTGGATCAGATGTCTATGCAGAAAGAACTGGTAGGTGCAAACTTTTTAAGCTTCTCATATAAAGAAAAAAGTATTTTTTTAGATTTGAGAATGGTGCTTGTATTAAATTATTTATTCATTTTTTTTTACTCTTTATTATTCTCAGTACTTAAGTATAATCACATGTCATGTAACATATGCTCCAAACACAAAGTGAAGGGTTGCTATTGAATTAGCTCAACCTCAGTGCCCTGAACCATAAGACCCTTGCCTGAAGAAAACAAGTGTTTTTGGCCCACGGTTTCTATATAACAATTGCCCTTGTTCATCTTATCATTGGTTATATTCACCCTTGATGAGGGTCAGCAGATATGAAGCAGCAGGCCCTCCAATTGCCATAAGGCTAGGGGATTTGCATGAAAAAATGAGGTTTGGTGACTTTCAGGAAAAGGGAATTCGGTCTGGGGGATCATCTGTCAGTGTGAGTTAGTGAAGAAAGTGAATCAGAGAACAGTGATAAAGCTATTAACATGATATTAGAAGAGCTAAGAAAGGCCGAGTGTTTGTCATATAGTACCTTTATGATAAAGAACATGTGGGGCCCCCCTGTGGAGGTAATTCCGGACAAAAAAAAAGTACCACACTAGTTTAAATCATGTTAGCGGAAAGTCTTCACAATTTTTAGCAATAAAAGTGAAGGGATCTGATACCATGAGGGAAATGGAGAAGGATAATAAAACCAATCAAATCCAGATGAAAAAGGATTAAGCTATCACAAAGTTTTTGTAGCTGGTAGTTCTGCTGGACCGGTGCCGCCACCCTTTTGACCTAAGCTCCACCCAGACGGAATCGGCACAAGGAAGTCAGATTAAAATTGAATAAAGCCCACAAGGGAAAATAACTTCAGATGAAATTTTATAAGCTGACATTTTTGTTTTTTAAGTCGGACAGAAGTCAGAACAGCTGTACATAATGCTTGGGCTGACTCTGTGCATCAGTGATCAAACTGGTGCTGGAGTTTTGCTCAAAAAGATGTTCAAGATTGTTGCAGTTTCAGTTAAGTTGGAATGCACTGGTCTGACATTTCCTCTGGTTATGGGGAATGCAGTCTCAAAGCTTTAAATACTGAAAGAGTGCTTGGCTCATGTCCCTGAGAAAAATTTGATATGGGAGCAATTGCACAAACTTTGCCAATAGCTTTTATTGAATTTGATTGACTTGGTAAAGTGGTTTCAAAATTCTGTTTCAGTAGAAGGAACTAAATACCAACACCCAGTTGTAAATTCGTGTCTAAGATTCTTGTTAATAGTCTGAACTTCCATCTTTCTACAGTGAATGCACGCAAGATTACTGGCACACACATACATACATATCAACCTAAGTAAAAAAAAAAACATTTACATGACCTTGCTGATGTTGCCGTTTCTCCTTTATGTTTTTGGGGTTTCGGGTGTGGTCAGAGGAAGGCCAACTGTTTTCCACGTGTCCATGAATGGAAAAGCATGTATTTTCTCTATCATCTCAGGTAAAAAAATAAGCCAAGCAGTCATTTCACCAGTTTTTAATTGTTCATCAGTTGGAAGCATCAGTGGGATATGGCAGCTGGGGTTAGATCTCTAGATCCCAAGCTACCATCAGGCTTACTTTATCAGTGATTTCTACTGACCATGCCTGCAGGATTAAGCTGTCTGAACACTTATCTTAATGTCTCCTGTAATGAGATTTAGCTAATTACCTCTAAATTAATAAGACTTTTGGCTGAGGTTTGCACTGAAGCTAACAAAAATCCATTCCAGGAGGTTAAAAGTGCGTGGACATTTATAGGATGCCATATTTACTGGCAAGACTTTTGGCAGGGATTTTGTCTTTAATATCACATAAAAACTACCGGACCCTTAAAAGGTTAAAAGTACATGGCCATTCCTTGAATGTCATATTTAGGCGGTGTTCTTTTTTTGTTTTTGATCACATGGGTGAAGTTCATTTTGGTATTGTTCCCAATATTGGGATTGTCACATTGAATTTGTGTGGCAAGTTTAGCTATTGTTTTAGCACCAGAAACACTTCTGAAGCCTTTTCCTGTAAAAAAAAATTGTTACTCTGTTTTTTAACACCACCTTTTAGGGTTTTTAAAACACAGACTGTTTTTATGGTGTTGACCCTTTTGAGATGACAGTACTAATGAACTTATGATCCAATTAGAATGCATAATGTTTAAACATAAAAAAGATAATGGAGTAACTAATTAAAGCACAACAGCATGTATAGCACAGTAGGCCATATGACAATGCAGCTTGTGTAGAGAGAATGACTAAACCTGCAAAGCTGGTGCTGTTCATTGTCAGCATGAACTAATTGGACTTTCCAACTGGAAACTCCCGATAAGCCACACTTTTTTCCCTGGCAAGCTGGCCAGTAAAGTAGAAAAAGCATGTTTCAGTTGGGATTATCAACAGTTCTCCAGTTTTGTCAAAACCTGTCACTCTTTGTAATGTTTTGTTGGTTGCCCAAAGCATTTCTATTAACCTTTAACAATGCCATGTGTTTTGATTTAAGAAAAAATCTCCATTTGAATATTGTTTAGTTTTTTTTTTTAAGTGAGGTATGCTGGAGTTTTAGGTAATCAGTTTTAAAAACTGAAAAAAAATGTACATGTTAGCAGCCTTAAGTACTGACAGTTCAAGATATGAAACAGCAATGACCAACTTTTGCTTCTCTTTCTTTTAACTGTTTTGGTAAATTTCAAGATTGCTTTAGGACATCTAGTAATGAGTTTCCTGAGATAGTTCAGGACATGAAATAATCTCACAGTGAGAGTATGACAAATCATAAACACCGACACAGGATTTTGCGGTAGGACCCCTGAAGTTCAAACTGATGCAAGTTGATTTGAAAGGAAAGGTAATAGAGGAACCTAAATTACATGGTAAGATGTAATGAAACCTGGTCTGCATCCTCCATGCCGCAGAGTTCACCTTTGTTGGGCTTTTGGGTATGGTCATTACATTACACCAGCTTACATCACATTCAGGTGTTTCTGGGGGGGACATCCTGAGGTTTTGAACAGGAATTCTCTGTACCTGATACCTGACAACATCGGATTAATAGTTTCTAATAGCATGGGGGAAAGTTGGTAGAATGGAGTGGTTTTTTCCTCTGAGAGGATAGTGAGAATGAATGCAAAGTGTGGTCTCTGCTTAAGAGTTCAGTGTGGGTTCTGTGTTTGAGTCAAGATAAGAACGTGTGCAGGTGTGCAAGCCAGATGGCTCAAGTGTTTCTTGCCTTCTTGTAAAGTAAAGGAAATTGAAAAGACCAGGGGAGTTCCCTTGGTTTGCACTTTTGGGGTGAAACCTGTGGATTATTATGAAGAAATTTATACATGTTATGTATGAATAGTGACTTTGGTTGGCATATTGTGAAATTATTAGTTTTGTTTTTGAATGAAGGACAGATAAGAAGGATTGATGTCCTGAAGTGCTTTCATATCAAAGTGATTGTCTGTTTTCATTGGTTTATACTTTGTTTGTCAGGAGAAGATGACCTTTTGAAGGAAATGCACAGTAAAACCACCTTTATTCATGTGTGAGGTCTGCATATTTTTTGAACTGATAGCTGAAGATGACAGCTCAGGCAAGCAAACCCATACCACAATTTTACCTGTGCTTTACTGATATTTTGAATAGTGGGTGTTACATTTCCTGAGGCCATAGCACGTGCAGAATTTTGTTTAAGAAAAATTCTGCATAATTACTATGATAAGTGGAGTAAAATTTCTTCACATTTGTCATCCTTTTATAGGTGTCTTCGTGTTGCTTTGTGCTGGAAATTTATTGTTGTGTTGTGGAAATAATTCAGCTGAATGTGAAAAATGGGACAAAAGTTTTTCTGTAACAAGACATAAATCACTGGCTTTTAGGCATGCCTATTATTATAGCTATCGAGAAAGAGAGTCATCTCTCTCCAAACAAAATATCCTTTTTTATTATTATGTTTAAATTTCCCTAATCATGCAATTTTATTTCAGAAAAATGTGAGCTTGCAGAAAATATTTCAAAAATGCTGCTTTTGTCTACCAAGTAGAAGCAAATCAAATGGTCTGTGGTGTTGAAAGTTAATTTAGTCAATTTATTAAAATCTATATATACATTTTCTTTTCAGAAAAACCTGGGCAAGATGTAAAAGATATTGCACTGTATGTGGGCGTGTCCCTAGCTGTGCTAGTACTTGCAACTATCATTGTGATTATAATATTTATGATTCGAAGAAAAGACCAACGGCAATTTGATATGGACTTGGGTAAGTGAGCCTCTTAAAAATACAACAAAGTGAGTGTAGAATTTGTTTTTGATAACTTTGATATAGTGGGTATATAGAACATTGTTTTATTGTACCTAGATAGGGGTGGCACTTGAGAAAAAAAGTCAGAGAGGCGATCTCTAGAATGCTTAAAATTTATAGGTTGGAAAGAGAATTGTTTTATTTCACCTTCTGAAGTGCTTTTCAGTTTAGACACTTGTCATGAAGTGTGTTTGATTGATGAAATAAAAGACATGTCCCACTGTCCCAGAAACCAGGAAAACAAAAAATCGCTGGATGTAATACGGCCACAAGTGTTTCTTAACCTTCATCTTTTTCATTGTTGCCTCATTGAAATTCTTGTCAGCTTTTAGGAGAGTCTGTAATAAGTGCAATGGCAAACAAACCTCCCTTTTCTTTCCACAATATTAGTTATAAATGGCTCTTTGGCATGACATAGGAGTCAAAGGTATGGAAGCGAGTGAGTTGCACAACGTTGCAGGGGCTTTATCACGTTGGTATTTGGGTTGCCACCATGAGCCATATAGGGGAGGACTGTGTCGTTGATGGATACAGGATTTGATTGTAACTGAAATGCTGAGGAGAATACAAAACAAAAGAAATCCATCTTGATTTGCTGAGATGAAAGCAAGTGCATTCTTTTCTGGTAGTGAATCAGTGGGTAGGAATTCCTATGAACATTTGGCTCTTTTGTTTTTTCTGATCTATACTGTACATGTAATCTATTGTTTAATCAGTTTATAAAGAAATGGGGTATTTGTTCTCAAAGCCATCCAAAAAACATTTGGAATTGGATATGCCATATGATTATTACAAATTTGGCACGAAAAACAGCAGATGGGATAAAAAATTGAGGAATGGTTTTTTTCTCCTGATAGTTTATACTAGTGGAGAGGAGAGTTGACATTTTCAGATAGGCGCATGTAGTTCGTTTCATTAAATGAGAATGAACATTTGCCTGCACACTATGTGCTTTTGTGCCACCACTGTCAGTTATAATTGCATGGCATAGTCTCCAAAGTCCCCTTTGGGCTTTGTCATAGTTGTGCGTAATTGGCCAAATTTACCTGATGAAGACCACAGCTTCAAAGGCCGCTCTTGCTCTTGCTAATAATTTTCTACCTAACAATATGGCATTCTGCCACATACAACCACAAGTTTCCCTCTGCACATGAAAAAAAAAATCCAGAGTCCGGCCAAATGAGTTACAGTACTTGGGTGTTATCTGCACCACTGGCATTTTCCTGGAGCAATAAAATGGGAGATTTTGGTGTAGATTACTCCCTAATTGATGGGAATGATTTGGCTACACTATCAATAAAATGGATTTTATATCCTCGTTGCAATTAAAGTCCCATGTTCTTGATGTATGAAAATGTTAAAATGTTTTTAATAGCTGCCTGGTATTTTTTAAACTGAAGATGAAGTTTAAATGTTTAGAATTTAAGTTTATATCAAAATTAATGCATACGATGCTAATGAATATTTAAGGGAAAATCTGGATAATTAAGCCTTTTATTGCTTCTGTTCCTCTCTAGAAAAAGTAAGGTGAATTTTTTTTTTCATTTCCAGGTGAGCGCAGCCTTCCCCAGTATGATGATGAAGATAAAAAGCCAGCTAAAAATGGAGGTATGAACATAAAAATTGGAACCAACTCATCATGTAGTACTACAGGTGGAAGAAATAAATACAAAAAGAAAAAATATACTCAAATAGCAAACAAAACACAGTAGACCTACATTGTACAGCAGCTTGTTGTAACAGCAGGAGCTGCAGGTTGATAAGTGTTAACAGACACACACACACTCACACAAGTTGTGGAGTTTTGTGGGTAGTTTATACCATAGTGGAATTACTTGAAAAGCAGATCTGTTTTGTTCTTATTGCTTGGTTATTATTGATATTCAGTTAGAACTTTTTTTGGGTGATAAACTGTAGTATATATAAATACCCAATCATGCAAATTATTACAATGATGTCATTTTGTGGTATTGCGCCAGAGAGATGTTGCAATTGTAGTAGTTGAGAAACATTTGTATACATACATACTGATATTGAAACACTGTTTTAAACTATATATACATTAAGATTTACCTGTCGAGGTACACATTATTAAATTAAATTGTGGTTTTATCTTGTACTGGCCAACTAAAACTGCATTTATACATGGTTATCTTTATGCTTTGTCATTGTATTTTCCAGCTATGGTCCAGCCAGATCTTACCCAAACCATTGCCCCTGTCAGGACCCACAGTCTATATGACCAGCCTCCACCCAACAACAATCACATAGACGCCATGGAGAAAATACCCATGTTAAATGGACACACTCACCCAGTTGAGGATTCCCCGATCATCGACAAAAAATCAAAGCATTTGTACATACAGCTTCCGGGAGAAGAGAAAACAGATTCAACGGAGAAATTGACTTTACAGAAATCTAAAGCCTCTCTGAAATCATCAACTTCTGGCTCAAGGCCTCAGTCTGAATATGACACTGATAATAGTAACAGACAGTCAGTTACTTCTAATCTGCTGCCTAGCAATATAGACGTTGAGGCATTAGCGTGGGGAAATATTACACACGCTGGTGGGATGCTTACCATTCCAGAAACTGGAGTTAGTGTTAGCATCCCAGAAGGTGCTATTTCCAAAGGCAATACAGAGGAAATATTCATCGCAGTTTGCAGAGATGATAAAGACAGACCAAAATTATCAGGTACACATTGTTTGTTTCAAAATAAGGGAAGGGATATTACAGTTTACGTATTGCCAAAGGAATTGTATTGTAGTTGTGTTTCAACATGGTTGCCTCGGGCCATCAAAAATGTTGGAGATGAGATTTTGATTTTTATTTTAAAGTAAAAAAATGTCTGAAGCAAAAAACATGAAATAATATAAGGTTGTTTGTAAAAAGATTATTATATATTCAATTGTAAGGGGTATTTTTTTAAAATGCAAATTGTTTAGCATTGTTGAACCATATTGACATATTATGGCTTTTGGAGATTAAATCTAACCAAACAGTCTTCCATTTTAGATAAGCAGACGATCCTCAGTCCCATCCTGCTGCTGGGTCCTCAGGGCCTTGCCCTCCACAAGCCAGTTATTGTGTCTTTCCAGCACTGTGCCAGCCAAAAACATGGCCTCTGGGTTATGAGAGTATATGGGAGTGGGACAGCTTATGATGAACCACCAGCATGGAAAGTAAGTGTTTTAGACCCCAGTCCCACAGATTTTAGATCGATCTATCCCTGTGGGGAGTCACACTAAATTACTGTCAGCTTAGCCGGCTTAAGCGTCTGGGGAGTTAGGTCGATCCAGATGGATTGATCTAAATCTCGGGAATGCACTCTTAGATTTTCATATTGTTGCCTTTTTTCGGAATAAAAGGTTCAACTGCCCCCCTCCCCCCCCCCCCCCCCAAAAAAAAAAAAAAAAAAAAAAAAATGCCCACAACCTTTGAACCAACAAATGATCAGTTACAGTTAACTAGTTTATATATTTTAAAATCATTCTGACTGAAAATTTGATCATTGCTCTCATATGTAATTTATTTAACCTGAAAAGAAGATATTGAAGTGATGATACATTTGTCAAAAAATAAACTATAAACAAAAAACAAAAAAATAAATTGAAATGATTTCATATATTTCTCATTAAATTTTATAATAGTGTTTTATATTAGTAGCCAAATATATGCTTGAATCACAGTTTGAGTCAGATTCATCAGCAAAATGCCTAACAGGAAATTAGCCACATGAACAATGGTAATTGGCCCATAAATGCCACGCTGTGAAGTTGCCATGGGGTAGAAGTTGTGTCTAACACAGCAGCATCATTTCACCTCCAGTGCCAATTGTTTCATTGTTGTTTTGCTATGGCAAACAAGGGAAAACCTCATGCATTGACAAAAATGGGTCATCTTTTTTTAATGTTTTTGAAATAATCAATATAAAGCCAAATTTAAGCTTCATGCAGAATTTATATTAGTTTATTCTGGGAACTCCCTTTTTTGTTATTGTAATAAATAAATAGTATATTTGTATTGATTGTCTTTTAATTCTTACCAGTCCCCTTATTACTTTTGAGTAGCTTATTTGATATTTTAAATTAACAGAATCAAAGGAATGTGGAATTAACTTTCATTATTAGATAAATTCCTATTCCCTTTAAACTTTCTAAAGCTTTTGTGGCTTCCTCCATTGTAATTAACAAGATATAAAATAATTTTTCAGCATTTAGTCACATTTGGAGAGGAGACACTAAATACCCCAATTTACTGCCAAGTTGATACAAATTGCTGTCATATGATGACTGATCAACTGTGCCGTTATGCTCTGATCGGAGAATCTATGCAGGGGACTGCTGCGATGAAGAGACTGAGGCTAGCTGCATTTGCTCCTGCAGTAGCATCTTCCATAGATTACAGTATTAGAGTATATGTTGTTGAAGATACGCAAGATGCTGTAGAGGTATGGACTGCAATCCCATTTTAAGAATGTTTTTTTCTTGAGAGAGACATTAGTTTACTATGCTACTGTGCAATATATGTTTAGTAAACAAAAATGAGACATTGCAATTTTTTATGTTTTCGAATGATATTTGGTTTATAAATTAATAATGTTTTTCAATATCTGAATGTCACATTTCTGTTTTCAGGGTGTCATTCAGCTGGAGAAAAAACTGGGGGCAGCTTTGTTGGATAGACCAAAGCAAATTCTCTTTCAAGATGGTGGTAACAATCTTTGTCTCACTATAGAAGAACTGGCCCCAGGATGGAGGAGTAAACTCACAGCAAATTACCAAGTATGAAAGTGATAGAATGGAAACATTTTGTCAGATAAAGTGAGAGAGCATGAAAATCTTATTTGTTTACTTTACACATTATAAAACATTATGTTGTATGTATTTAAGATGTATCTGATAATAAACATGAGTGAATCATTTATGTAATTCTATTTTTGCCGTCTCCAGGAGATTCCATTCCGCCATATTTGGAGTGGTAACCAGAACAATCTCCACTGCTCTTTCTCCCTGGAGCACACAGATGGCCTGCAGCAGACGGTCAGCTGCAAGATAGGAGTGTACCAAAAGTCAATACTCGGCAATAGAGCAGTTTTACAAATAGTCAGCAATCTCACTGAAGTAAGTTTTGAAATGGAAATGTTGTAAGACTAAGGATATTTCTTTTCAATTGAACTGGTTACCAGTATTGAATACTTTTTCATTTCAGATGAAAAATAAATAATCAATTCTTTTCATGATGTCATTAAGTAAAAATGTGTCATTGTAATACATGTACTGACTTTTGTCTTCCAGAAAGTAATTCCTAGTCCCACAGTACCAGGCAAACCCCGGGCCTCCACTACTGTCTCCAGCTCTGGCTGCAGCTCAATGGTCACACTGGACCAGGCACAGAAAGCTTTCAGGTAAGGCAGAATCAAGCCTGAAATCTTTTCTTTTGTAAAATTCTAAAAAATTGAATCATAAAATTTGTTGCAAAATTTCTTTGCATCAGAACTTTTTCCAAAAATTCAGATGAATGATTTTTATATCATATAACTTATTTATAGAAAACGTCACAATTTCTTCCTTTAATCTTGTATTTTCTTGATAATTTTAGGCTTCCAAGCCAAATCAAGACCAAGCTATGCGCATATTTGGACCCACCTAACAGTCGGGGCAATGACTGGAGAATGCTTGCTCAAGCTCTTTGTGTAGATAGGTAAGTTAAGGTGAACATTGCTGTGAATAGTAAAATCAAAATGAAAATGAGAAGTTAAAATAAAATTTTGGATTTATCAGTTAAATTTTCGCCATATGATGCTTTTAGTGAAATAGTTACTTACAACGTATATCTTTGGAGGTGTTGTCTAAATTAGTAACTTCTTAAAGTAGAAATTTGTGATTAATTGTTTGTATCTCATCTTTCCATTCTAGATATATTAATTTCTTTGCCTCAAAACCAAGCCCAACAGAACATATTTTAGATCTCTGGGAGGCCAGGCATCGAGAAGAAACAGCATTGACGGATCTCATGAACACTTTAAGAGTGATGGACCGATTTGATGCTGCTGCTGTTTTAGAGAAAGAATTGGGACCTTGGCTATAGACACTTGTATGGCAAATGTGCTGCTGCTTGTTGAAAATATTGAAAAGGCCCTTCAAAGTGTTTGGGCCATGCTTGTGCAATCAGTTTCCGTGATGAGTAAAACAATCCAAATCGTCATGGATATCTATAAGGCTTTGTGTGCTGCCATCTATAGGTCATTTGACTGGAGCTTGACTGACACTCTTGGGCCTGGGAACTGACTAGCTAGTCATCATGCAAAATGCCATAATGAAGATGCAATCTTCATCACAGAGGCTTCTGTGCCATGTCAATATGTTATGATAATATAAAATAGTGTCAGACCGAAGGCAAATTAAATACCGGGCTGGACTCAGAAAAAGACGAGAAGTGGTGGAAGGACGAGGTCTATTTTTTTGAAGGATCATAACTGAAGTCGTGAGGCATATTGGTGCTAAGGTTACAGTTCAGTTTTATGACTGCGTATGAACAGTGGTATCACTTGCAGAGCATGTTTCATACCATATGTTCATAGCTTTATTACATTAAAAATGCTCATTTAACAAATCCCTATGATGTAACAAAGAGAAATTCATGTTTTGATGTTAACTAGCTGTTGGAAAACTTACAAACCCTGAAAGAAAAATAGCCCCAATGAAAGAAATTGTCTGTAAGTTGATGGAAATCTGGGAATGCTTCTGTGTATTGCATCTGTGGATTGAAACAGCCTTTCAGACCTTTGTACATTTGTAGAGATGTAGAAAAATGTATATTTTGTTTATATTTGTAAATATCAGACTATTAAAACTTTTATAGCCTTGGAGTTGTAATTAAGTTACAATGGACAGAAGTTGTTTAGTGTACGTAGTTGCTTTATATGAAAATTTATTCACCTTCCCCATGTTAAAGATTTTATGAAACACAACCAAAGCTTAGTATCCATTGTAGAATAATGAATAGGACATCCTTTCCTGCTGAACAAAAAAACTGCATTTCAGACTGAAAACAATCTAGACTATAGTAATCAGAGTAACCAGAAAGCTTAAATGTACTTCTTTCTAGGCTCTTTTACTCCAGGTATAAATTTATATTTTTTAGATTGAGCTAAGATTGTAGATAAATGGCAAAAGAAAGTAGAATATTCTATGTTATTATCAAAAACATACGGTTTCTACACATTGTGAGTAGCATTAACCATCCATTTTGATGCCAAGTGGGGTCCGTACGACTAAGCATTATATTATTGTGACTTGTTAACCATAATTAAGTTTATAAATCCAGATAGTAGCACAAGCATCACCTATAACAGCATTAAAAAATAGCAGTTCTTTATGTAATTGGTAGTTATGTTATTATTTATCTTGCTAAAATTGTTGTCTCGGAGGTTATTTCTTCCAATAGCCAAAATGTTTTATAGGTAGTCCTAAAGTTAATATATGAGCACGTTATAAATGGAAAAAAAGAGGCATTCTGTGTATATTCAGAGACAAAACTTGAAGGAAAACATAAGCAAATATTTGTAATAAACAGCTGAAGAAATACAGGGTGTCCCTTTGTTGTTTGGAGTAAAAAAATAATTTTATTGAATTTTTTCGAAATAAAATTTTAAGAAAAGATGTTGTTTAAAAAAACGATTCTGGGAACCAGAAACAAGTGTACATTTTCGAAAAACCAACCTGGGAACTAAGAACTATTTTCTTTTTTTAAAACGATTCTGGTAGCCAGAAACTAGTGTCGTTTTTCAAAGAAACGACTCTAACGCTGAAAAACCAGAATTGTTTTTGCGGTGGGAGACGAGTGGATGGAGGAAGAGGCGATTAGCATTTATGTTCAGGATCTCAAAACAAAATTGGACATTTAAAATTGTTTTATTGATATTTTCCCCAATCTCAACCATTTTGTTAGTTGATCGTATAAAAATGAAAGTAAATGGGTTATTTTGTGTTCCAAATGGCACATTTCGCCCTCCAAAACACCAAAATACATGTGTTATGGGGCCCTACAGCCGAAACCGCTATTAGATCTTAGTCCACTGTAAAAGTAGTCGGCGGTGCTGCTCTAATGACAGAGGCTTCCTCACAGACCATCTTGCATAGCATAGTCGGAGCACTGGTTTTGTTTCATTGACTGAAGTTTTCCTTATGAAATATATCAGTACGGCGCATACATGTTTTTCTACTTTTCAATTCGGTTAAAATACACTATCTGCCAAGCAATGCAGCAGAGAAGATCATTTCTGTTCCCCTCCAGATGGAGCTATAGGACGGGTTGGTTTGTCAAACCTGGCAAAAACTGCTCAGATTGCAGCATGCAGTGGACCATATAAGGATAGCCAGTGACCTGCATAATGTCATTTTACTTTAGGGTGTGTAAGGGTCTGACGCTTAATTTAATTGATTTAATCTAGTGTATTTTGAAATATGCGAGAAACAAAATATTCCTGTGCATAACAATTTTAGTACATTGTTTATCAAATTTTGCCCGTCAAATTATGCTAATTGATAAATAGAAAGAGTGATCACCTAGCTCTTCCTGCCTCCTACCCCAATGGATAATTCGAAACCTGAACCCTTGGAAGAGTAGTCACTTCTTCTTTAGTTCTGAGTGACCAGGATTTGGAATCGAGGCGGTCATGGACAGGATACTAAGTATATGGATATTTCAGTTTTAACCGATTCAACGCAAAGTTCTAAGATGATGGTTTTAGGTATTTGTCGAAACTTATTTTTGATGCATTCAAGAAATGTGTTTGACGCCTGCATGTTGAACACTGGGTTTTGCCATTCTCCAATATTTTCCCCAGGTGATATTTTGTGTCCTCCACATGGCGAACCTCATGACAGTGAAAATTGCAGTTGTGCCTCATGTTAACTACAAAGAATTTTAACTACATCATTAGAATTAGTGGTGGCAGTAAAGTTTCACATGCGAAATAGTCCAAATGGGGAAAATTCTGTGGAATGGCCCTTTTAAATTTTGGCTGTTGAAATTTAGTGAGTGGTTTTAAAATTAGGCGTCATAATTATACTACAGCAAAATAGTCACAATTGAAAATTAAAGAATAGGATAAAGATTTAGTGATATACTTCCATTTATAATTTTGGCATGATTTCACAAATAATACCATAATATGTAATATTTCGATCCATTGAAGTATGTGACCTATTTAATAGTTACACTGCTTTCTACGTGACTGATTATGAAAGCAGCCAGTTCAAGGCATAGGGGGCGAATTGCTAGCGCCAATTTGCCAGTAATGCTTTCAAGAGCGTAATTTTGATATTTCTCATTTATGGCTACTGTCAATATCACGCTGTCTAATCAAAACGCTCTGTCCAAAGCAATTTTTTACCTCCAAATTTTAAAGTCTTTTGTTAAAAATCAAAATGTAGCCTATTTAACACTGCATAGTCATTAGTGACAAAATTTGTTTTATTTCGCCAAAGAATAAAACCGCCCCTTATGCCCTTAAACATTTTTTACTATGATTATTAGACTGAGCTTGCTCCGTGGCTTTTGTAAAATGCGTTATTCTTCAGCAAGGCAGCAAGTTGTGACTAGACGTTTATTTCAATGCAAATATATAATCCTCAAAAATACGGAAAACTTGTTTTTCTAGTCCAGGAAAACTCGCAAATGAAGCTCAATTTGACCTTTTTTATCAAAAGACGAGAAAATAAGCTACCTTGAAAACTCTGTTGGTGATTTATGTTATTTATGTTTCGCGTCCTTTAAAATGCTTTTTGAAGTCATTGACAAAATTGTATCAAAAGACTAAAAATTTTCGTATTTTCATTTTCTAAATAGCGAGCATTTCACTCGTTACTCGGAAATGACAGTTTACTATATTTTCATTTGCCTCGAATACCTGGAATTAAATTCTTAATTTTGAAAGCATGCAATGAGGGTTAGACCTTTAATAAAGCACAAAAATAATCTGCAAATTTTAGCAATTTTCCCTTAAGGTTTACTTTATCCAAAAACCGATTCGAAAACTACGATCTGAAAACACCATTTGGGATTCCAAATTAGTATAATTCTATCGCCATGTGAAATTAACAAGTCTTTATCTCCATAGCGAGGGTGACTTAAAATTTAGTTACTTAAAATTCGTATCTGTATAATCTTTTGAAGCTTGAAAACTTGCTGTCTTGTTAAATGAAAAGCGTCATTTTTATGGACCACAATCGATCATTTTGTTTGAGTAATGGAGCATATAAAGTTCACATATTTAAGACTCAATTTTAGAAAATTACATGTAGTTGCAAACTGATTTTGCTAATCCAATTCTTCCCGTTAAACTATGCAAAAAAAGAACACAAATATTAAACGATTATTTTATTTATCTTAATTTGCTCATCTGGATTGTAATCTTAATATTACCTAATTTTCTAAAGTTAAGCTGAATAATATGTGCAATTTTTTTTTTTTTTTTTTTTTTTTTTTTTGTGTAATTATTTGTTTTATATGACTTGCATTTCTGGCATTAATCTGTTGCACAGATCTCACTCTTGCTTCTCCATTTTGCCTAGGGTTGATAATTATACCTGCTGCAATTACCAAAATGCTTTTTCCCAATAATCAGTGTCTCTAGGGGATTATTTTTTTCACATTCCCCAATAAAGTGTATCTTTTATAGTGTATTTGAACGTATCTGTTGCTATTAAATGTTGATTTTTTTTTTCACAAACGGCTTGTGGCAATTTTTTTTGCAAAACATAGCAAATGTGTTTTTTTCCTTCCAAGCAATAACTGTTGGGATTTTATGCCGTATTATATGTAGAAAAAGCCACATTCTGATAAAAAATTCACAGCACTTTATGGTTAAAATGAAACAAAAACAATGGTAGATACATGGTATTTTGAGAGGTGTCACATTTTGAAAGAGTATTTTTGTGACTTTTAAAATTATGTGATATTAGAGTGAGTCTCTTTAGATTTTTTCCTGCGGTGGTCTGGGGTGGGACAACTACATGTACTACCAGTAAATCTGCCGTTGATTTTGTTATTAGTAGCTTATTAGATAGTTTATTTTGTCAAATCAAACTTGAGCGAGTCTTAATGCAGATATCAATATTTTTGTTTTACATATCTGACTATTCAAAACTTATTGGGATTTAAATATTTTTAAAAATCTTTAACAAGTGAATGTTTAAAAATATGTGAATACATCAATGGCATTTTATTTTGCTCCAAATAAAATACTTTACAGTTACATGCAAAATGGCTTAGCGTTTTCATTGGCGGGACAAAGTTCTAAGGGTGGGAGTTCGATTCAGGTACTTGAACATATTAAAATTTTCCAGAAGGGCTCTTAAAATTTCTCTCTCGTTACTATAAGAAGAAAGTCTACCAGGGGAGGGTGGGTGGGAACACTTAGGAGAGTGGATAGCACGCGCAACTCGGAGTCAGCAGTACCTGGGTTCGATTCCTGGCGTTTCTGGGTCCAAGCAAATTACCTTTTACTAAAAAATATCAAAACGAGAAATTTGGCGTCCGACAAGAAGGTCCTGTGACAGATATGAGGCAAGTGGAGTCAGTGGCTCAGTAGATAAGACGGCAGAAAAGTAAGCAGGAGATATAGGGTTCGAAGTGATGTAGGAAAAATGAAAATACTTTTGCAAGTTTTGAACGAAATAAAGCATTTGTACGTTTATTACGTCAACATTAATTATTTACAGCATTAAAAATTTAACAAAAAAAATGAAAATATAACATTGTATACTCTAAATTAAATTAAAATTTAACTAACAGAAAAAGACGGTATATATCTGTAAATAGAACAAGAAGATATTATGCACTTTGAACGTTGTTACTAAAAGACGGAATCCTTTGATTTACAAAAAAAAAAAAAAAAGTTCAAGATTGTAACATTTGAAAGACTTTGGCAAGAACTGATAACAGAGAAAATGGATTTTTTAAACAAATTGTACTTGACATTTTTTTTGTCAAAGTTCACATTAGTGCCTTGTCTTCCTCAAATTCCATCAAAACATTTCCGTTCAAATTCAGAGATTATAACAATTTTTAAAATGCAAATAATCTGCTGTAAGCGTCATTCGTGCACTAACGCACACACTCATGTAAGCACACCTTGTCCTATGTCGTCTTGTTGATGTTCGCACACCAAATCGAACTGTAGCCAAAATTTCTTTATGTTTGTAAAATTTCTGCTTGCTTTGCCAGTCGATATTTTTTCAAATTTTGTTTTCTATTTGTTTTCTAAATCCTAAAATAAATATCATACGTGACGTAATTGTGGGTGAAAATTTACATTTGCAAATCATGGGAATCGTGAGCGACATAAAGATATAGATGGTGTACAAGATTATCCAAGTCTTAGCCAATCAGAATTGTATACTAACAAAACTGAAAAGGTTACGCAAAAATCATGGTACTTGAAGCGACTTTTCACATTCAATTAGAATTAACTCTGGTTCTCGGTGTTCAGTGATGACACTAAGCACAAATAACACAACATGGACATGCAGGACTGATATATAACTAGTCTTTCTCAACCCCTCCCCCCCCTTGATCTAGAAA